GGAGCTTCTTGCCATCCACGATGCACGTGCGCTTCGGCCGGGGTTTGTACTTGTAATTTGGGTACTTCTCTAGGTGGATTTTGCTTAGCCGGGCCTGTTCTTCATAGTAAGGTTGCTTCTCCTGGTTGGACATGGATTTCCAGCGAGATCCTAAACATGAAAGTAGCCTTAAGTATATAAGAGGTCATGATGATGGTGACATGTTCCAGATCTAAATGACTGGTCATATCTCCCATTACTTCACTGCCTTTGCTCAGGAGATCCTGTTACCACACACAACTGAGACTTGTCCTTTAAACCACAGAGCCAAACAACAACAATAACAAAAAACTACAATGTATTTATTGTATTTTTCTCTCAATATTTTATGGCTGATGATCTTATGGTTTTTTTTTTAATTATCATCATTATTGTGAGTGGACATGGGTGTTCAGGTGTGTCAGGGGACGTCTTTGGGAAATTCTCTCCTTCCACTTTTATATCAACTCTGAGGATTGAATTTATGTCACCTCGCCAGGCTTGTGAGACAAACATCTTCACCTTCTGAGCCAGCCCCACCGTGCAACTGTAAAATGGTTTTGCTGCCATAACCAAGAGCTTCCCTACTTAGCTCTCTCTCAGCTTCCACCTCTCTTTCTCCTTCCATTCCCTCTTCTCTCTCTCTCCCCAAGGGTTAACAACACAAACCTTCAAGGCATACTTCCGAGATGGGCAGGATTCTCAGGGAGCAGGAGCCTTTCTTGGTCTCTGACCTGGGAGTCTCTCCCACACTCCAAGCATCTTTAGGCAGATGCTAGCATTCTTACATACATAGAAACCTGCCCTGTGCACTGTCACCTCTAGGATGACACACCTCTACTTAAGAGGTGGCAGCTATGGAAGAGGAGATGCAGCTGAAGTCATATGCACCATTCTCAAATTCTATAAATGATCATTCAAAGATGAACTAATAAAAGCACGGCATCTTTAAAAGTATGGTTTATACAGGAAGGAGAAGTATTCCCTTCTCTAATATTGTTTACAAAGAATTATCTAAACACTTGACGGAGAAGGGATGTTTTTTTTTTTTTTCACATGTATTGAATTGCATTTTTGTGTCTGGTGGATAAAGTGGTCACAGCTGTGCAGACTGGATGCTAGCAGTTCTTCAGTGGCGATTTTTCACACGTAAACAAATGGCAAAGTTGTACAAATAGTCTCAGTAGCCAGCAATACCCTGGTTTGCTCTCCCAGCATCCCTGTCCTTTCCTGGTGGTTGCATGAAATTGTGCAGATCCCTTGGCTGTGCCAATCAGCTTGTTATGCCGGCTGCCAGCAATGTAGGGCCCCAGGTTAGGATTCCTGGCACCCTTGAAATGGGAAATGCTCGTGCATAACAGTTTACATTTTAATGAATATACTTTTTATGTTCCTCATAATGTTTTTACAGGATGCATATCAATAATAGAGATTCTTCAAGGCTGCCAAGATGGAAACAGAGGGCGTCTGTGCCCATCTGAAAGCTTACAAATGCTGCTACCGAAATGGCAAGAAACAAACATGAAGTTATCAGCAGCTGTGAGGCTGGAGTAACACTGATTTCTTTTATATGTTTTTGAATTTAGACTATATATATATATATTCTGCCCATTAGGAACATTTTTAGCTTGTATTTAAATTAAAAAGAATATCATCCCTCTGCCTATCTCTGAAACCCTAAAATTGAAATTTCTCTAAATGGAAGTGATATTTAGCCTTTGCTTTAAAATTCAAAAGGAACAAACAAAAAGCAAAAAGCCTGTGTTTCCATGTTCTACCTCTATTTGGTCCAAAGTATGTTTTAAATTTTCTTAGAGACTCCTGCCTCGTAATGTCTCAGAATCAAGTTAAATCATTTATTTTGTGACAAAACATGTGTATTTGTGTGTGCCCAGACCACTGGTATTTACTCAGGTTAAATATTTATTGCTCTTGAAGAAAACATTTAAAGAATTAAAGCCACAGTGTAAGCCTGGTGCTTTCCAGCATCTTACGCAGCTCCTTTGGGTTCTGTTCTACAATGGCAGCTTAAACAGAACAGGGCCGTCTGTGTTTCTTCTCTCCGAAGAGGAAACATGTTGACTGTAATGCTGCATGTTGAATAAAATATGTTCAATATGTTGAGCACAACTGTTCCAAACTGTGTAATCTATGCTAGGCAAGCCTACCCTGATGGAATATGGCTTGAGTTTAAGCCTGGGAACCCGGAGGACGGTGCTGGCAAGGCAAGGCTCTGCCCTGAGTTGCAGCTCAGCTCACGGCTATGAAATTTGAACTAGGCATACAGTGTCAGATTAAATGTAGCTTTATTTTACAAGTCTTCAAGTTGTCATTAGAGACATTATTCTGCACCCCATGAATTTCACACCATTTGGGGTGTACCCCTAGTACTTGGTGAATTCTCCCAGTGGACCATGTGAACCTGGGCTGTCAGGTCTGTGTTTCAGGGCTGCCTGGCCCTGTGAGTCCTGTGACATCACTCAATAGTTGCTACATTTACAATGTAAGCACATTACTCTAAGAAGTTCAGCTCTAAATTAAAGTTTTTAGCCAGGCTTACCCTGATAATTCTGTCTAAGAAGAAAGTTTACAGGCCTTGTCTTAGTAGACGCACCTGAACTATGGTGTGGTGGCACTCTGAGAGAAAATGTCCAAGGCTGCTGTGGGCACTTGCTTGAATTTCATTTGCCCCTGTCAATCAGTTTCCCTTAGGGAGCCACTTCCGCCCCTGCTTCCCGCCCTGCACCCACCCCACCCTCCTTGTAGGGTAAGATATCAGCGCCAGCTGGGCTGCAGCACTCGCCTAAGATTTTGCTAATGTTGGAGTTATGCATGTCAGGGAAAGCCTGAAGAATTTTCCTCCTTTCGTCCTTCGCCCAAACCATGAACGCATTCATTGGTCGCTTGATGTGAGGCTCGCTGCTGGCACGGCCGCGGGCATCCCTGTAGACGCGTGCTTCAGCCACAGTGGCGCCTCCTGTTGGCCAACAATAATACTGCTGTAGTTTAGCTGCAGAGCCATTCACTGCTTTGCTTCCTGTAATGTTAGGGCAGGAAGAACAAGATGGGGAAAGCATGATTACGAGGCCATTTCACGCTTTTCTGCCTGACTCCGCTGCTGCCCCCAGGCCTTCTGTTCTAAGAGACCTTTCGGAAGCAGACAGTTTTAGACGATGCTTCCATAAGCCTTCCTGACACAGGGTCAGAGACAGTAGGCCGAAATGATTTTGCACGTTGTTCCGTCTCTACGCCACATACTACACTAAGTTGTAGGTGGTAAGAAAGTAAGATTTGGGCTGTGGTCTGGTGGCTTCTCCTGATGTAATACCTTCCTTCAAAAGCAAACTCTTACCAGTCATTTCCCCAAATCTGCCATTTCAAACTATGTGTGCCCCCAAATGTCTGTCCCAGAGGCCTCTACTCTTCCATGCTATCTTTCAAGTCCTATTCAATTGCTGATGTTTCAGGAATGAATTAATTCAATGAAATGTCTTCACTGAGCAATCACTTGTAAGGGAAGTTTTATGCACTAGGCACAGAAAGGTGAATAAAGCCTTCAAGAAGCTCATAGTCCAGGGAGGCACGACCAGATATGTGGAAAATTCTGCAAGACTGGAATTAGCAGGGCACCAAGGGACACACAAGGTAGGATAGTCAGTCAGCCCGTGCATCCTGGGAGACATGACATCTCAGCTGACTCTGGAAGGATGAACTGGAATCCGCCGGTAAGTGGGAAAGGGGATGAAAGGAAACCAGGAAGGGCATTCAGGCTACAAGATGATGATGAGGATCTTCACTTAGGATGCACTGGCTCCTCCAGCCTCCAGGCTCGTGGCCTGAAGTCATCACTGCTTATGGGACTGCCTCCTTCTGACAGTTCCCCTCCATCCCTGGAATGGGAAATCTCTAAAGTTAGTAACTCTCCTATTCTCATACTCGTATATGAGTAACTCCCAAACAACATAGTAAATATTCATTACGTAAAAAGTAATTGGTCTTCATTTCTTATGCAAAAATAGTAGACTAAGAAATACTGTTTCAAGGGTCCTGATATATATATTTCTGTTGATTAAAAGGACTTCTTTATTGTTTATGAGACGCTGATACTTTCTGAAGACCTAACTTATTAGCACACAGGATGGATAACTCCTCCAGGCCAGGGTGGAGGCTGAGGCCCACTTGCAGATTCCTGGGATCTGGTGATGTATCTGGCACAAATGATTCTAATTACTAAAGTGTGTTAAATGAATGAGTGAATGAGGCTCTCCCATTTTCATACATCCCACAAGTGTGACACACTGATGTATGCTTTGCCTTGTCTTAACTACTGAGCATCTCTATGTAGATTGAGAAGTTCTATGGTAAAATGTGAAGTAGGTACAATTGGTGGCCTCAGCTGGTGTTTCTACTACACAAACTAGAAATCCTGCCTCCAAATTCAGTGTGTATTAAAACCACCTCCTCCAATTTTTTTTAAAGAAAAATTCATTCAGTGCAGGCAGTGGAGTTCTGCAGGAGCAACACGCCCCATCAATCTCTGGCCCTTCGGTCCTACTTCCAGATACCTTGCTTAAGGAGTAATTTGTTTGTGTCAAAGCCAGTAATAAATTAGGACATTAAGGGGTGCTATTATTTGAAAGATATGGTCATCATTTACTACAGACAAAAGACAGGATAAAAGGATAGAATTTGGGTAATATTGTGAATTTTTCCCTCAACATGGGGGGGCAGTAAGACCACTTTCTGAAGATTATGAAAAAAATAGCACACATTTTATAAACAGCCCTTTCTCAAGCCCACTAGACAGAATGATGCGTTACTCAGAAAGGCTCAGATCCCAAGATGCATAACTAATATGCTACCTTTTTGCCACCATACCCACAGTACATTAATTTCATTTAAAATGCACTGACCATACAGGATAAATTGATTTCACTTTATGTGGGTTTGACAGCCATGTTTATTGTGCAGTGAAATGCAGTGTAGCTTCCAGCTGACAATATCCATCAACATGGGGCAATATGCTGACTGCTGGGCCAGATGAAGGCATGCATTACTCTGGAAGCGAAACACTCATTCAGATACGACAGTGTCTTCTCCTGAGGATCACTGAGGTAATTTATGACACCCTTGGTGCCATTACTTTACAACTGACATGGATGCAGCAATTTATATACTGGCATGTGTACCCATAAAAGGAGACAGGTTTGTGGAGAATGTCAGATGCGGAAGCATTTCAGTATTATTCTAAGTTAACTATTATGCCACAGGTGAATAACACTCAGGACCTGCTTCACTGCTGGAGTTTCCTCTCTACTAGCAAAAACCCAATAGCCAGTGTCTCACTTCTTCCTTTGTGGTGTTATTTCATGGTGACATGGGATGCTTTACCCTACCACAGAATGAAAGACATCATGGTGGGATTTTAGAATTTAGTCCGGAGACCTTCCATATATTCCACACCACACTACTGATAGTGAGATCGATTCTTCTAGAGTTGTGCCCAGTTCCCTCTCCTCTGTCCACCCTCCACCCCTCCCAGCCCCCCACCCCACCCCCCTTAAGGCTGCTACTCAGCCTTCATTTATTTCTCTCTTCAGGAGCTCCAGTGACACTCTGCATCCTGCAAGGGACATAGATCAGCTTCTTCCTCCACCCAAGGCTTCCCTTGTCTTCCCCAGTGTGCACCACCTACACCATCAGTCCCAGAGAGGAGCTTTAGGGCTCCAGGGATGAATCCAGACTGCAAAACTCAAGCACAGTGCACACCACTACACAACACAAAGTAAGAAGGGGACAGTCAGTACTTGAGGACACTGTGTCCCCCTCCCTATACGCTCCCCGCCTCCTTTCCTTGTCACCTCTTTTCTCTTCCAGAAGGAATGAGCTGAAAAATGGAGGGGACATCTTAAACTGGGAATACTACTAGGAAAAACCAAGATTTGGAAAAAGAGATTTATCCAAGGAGACCAAAGCTTAAAATCATCAACTGGACATGATACCTAACCAGCTATTACTGCAGTGTGACTTTGAATATGGTAGAAATCTGCTGTGTCCAGGCCCCGCTGCAAACCACAGCTGGACATATGTGTTTGCCTGGCTTCCCTCCTCTTCCTCCTCCTCCTTTTCCTTCCCCTCCTCATGTTCATATCCTTTCTCTCCTGTTTTCCACATCTAAGGTAGCCCATGACTATATAAATGGTATCTGAGATGTCACTCTCCTTCTTAACTAGACAGTCAATCAATGACAAGCAACAACAAGCTTACATTGCACATGACAGTTGGCCCCTCCCTCAGGACTCACTACAGCTAATATCCTAGAAAGGGGAAGTCCTTTCCCGACCTTACAATACCCAGATTAGTGTTCAGGTTGGTAGGGGAAACGCAGTACTAAACTACAGATGCTCACAGGGATGTGCTGAGGGCATCTTCTATTTCCACATTGTACAGTGGCTGCACCTAACACAGCTCTATGAAGCTATCTAGAGTTCTCTATGCAGATGCTTTCTAACAAAGACTTCTTGGGCCAAACCTTTTGATAGGAAATATCTCTTGGTATCACTTTCTTTTTTATTGAAAGATGGCAACTCATCTATCACCTGAGCTTTGGCTCTATATTTGAAAAATGTGGGGAAAGAATTTCACAAAGATGTGAGAGGTAGGGGTGTTACTAAACTTTCCTAAAATCTCCTTTATGATACAAGAGGATTGGGGACTACTGTAGCCCTAGAAATAAATACATACACTATACATGTATAAATTCAGAGATTAAAAATGGAAATTAGCCGGGCGGTGGTGGCGCACGCCTTTAATCCCAGCACTCGGGAGGCAGAGCCAGGCAGATCTCTGTGAGTTCGAGGCCAGCCTGGGCTACCAAGTGAGTTCCAGGAAAGGCGCAAAGCTACACAGAGAAACCCTGTCTCGAAAAAAAAAAAATGGAAATTAATTTTAAAAATCTCTTTTAAAATATATACAATGTTTTACAGGACACTATACATTATTTTCAAAAGATATTCTATCAATCTATATACTAGAAATCCAAAATTGACCTCTGTTTTAAGTAACTTTTAAATTCTATATATCAGGTATGTCATGGCCTATTCATTTTTGAAAATATCAATAAGTGCATAAGGAAAAGTATTTTCTTCTTAAATAATCAATTCTTACATCAGAATCCAGCACCAGATTTTGATAGGGATCACTCAGTGTTAGATGAAGGACTTTTAACAGCAGAGGAAAGATTTGTGAAGTCAAGAGGATCGCATAGAAAATGGCTGGAAGGAGTTTAGACCCACAGCAATTCATCCAGGACCACAGCTTCCCTGCTGACCTTTGAGTCTTTACTGACCAGCATCAGCAGCCCCAAGGACAGCTACTGAAGGCCAGTTGGACAGCAGCACCTACCAGGAGGCTGAAGACCCTGTTTGCTAGGACCTCCTGCTCTGTACAGTGTCCCTGCACTGGGGCGGGGCGGGGAGGGGGGGTGTCTTGTGTTGGTTAACTCATCCTTCATCTCCAGAGAAGGCTGTGTAAATACAAAATTTCAGGTAAACAAAGGAATCTACAGGGAGAGGATGGAAGCTGCCAAGACAAAGATTTCCTTAGGAAGCTGTGAAGTGAGTGATTTAGAGAAGACAGAAAACTGAGTTTTTCCAGGTGGGTTGTTAAGAAGGCCCAGTTCCCCATCACAGCCTATGGCAATGGTCCTGAACTAATCTTACAACGGGGCCTTCCTGGGTAAATCCCAGGGGCTGTCTGGGTGAGTGAGTGTTCAGTGTGGGTTTGTGTATACACAAAGTTTTTCTCTAGGAAGACATTCTGGATATTTCAATACTATGCTTGATACTCAGCCTTACACACTAATTTAGCAAACTCACGACAAATTTTCAGTGTACTGGAAGCACCAGGATAGGTCTCCACAGAGGTAAATAGCACAGAATTTTTCAGGGGGTTGTTTGGATGGGGAAGCACACCTAGTTGAAAGTTATATAGCAGTGCTAATAAAGGTGATTTCTGAACACTACTTTCAGCATCCTT